TCCCAGGCCAAAGTAGTTATGTATAGTAAGATCTCTGTCCCAGGCCAAAGTAGTTATGTATAGTAAGATCTCTGTCCCAGGCCAAAGTAGTTACGTAAAGTAAGATCTCTGTCCCAGGCCAAAGTAGTTATGTACAGTAAGATCTATACTGTCCCAGGCCAAAGTAGTTATGTATAGTAAGATCTATTCTGTCCCAGGCCAAAGTAGTTATTTATAGTAAGATCTCTTTCCCAGGCCAAAGTAGTTACGTAAAGTAAGATCTCTGTTCCAGGCCAAAGTAGTTACGTAAAGTAAGATCTCTGTCCCAGGCCAAAGAAGTTATGTATAGTAAGATCTATACTGTCCCAGGCCAAAGCAGTTATGTATAGTAAGATCTATACTGTCCAAGGCCAAAGTAGTTATGTATAGTAAGATCTCTGTCCCAGGCCAAAGAGACAATTAGTTATGTATAGTAACCCCCAGGTGTTCTGTTTTGGATATACCTGTTACCTGTAGCTAGATTGGCATGGTTTTTAACACAGACTAGATAGCTCGGTAAGAGGTGCAGTATATAATAACATGAGGCTTGTAAATATGTATACATGTAGTTAATAATGTCCAAAACGTTTTTGGTTGCATTTTAGGGCTGTTATTATGCACAATATCCTTGTTTTTGCTAAAAAAAGCAGGGGATAAAATTGATAGCATTTGCCAAATGAGAAAGTGATTCAGAACTAGATGTTTAAAACCCATACAGTGTCCAAGTGAAGTGAACTAAGTTGACAACAATGACACAGAATCAAAAATGTATTTTTTTTATATATCGAGTACAAAATTTTCACTAAGTTGTTTTCTTCTACACTCTATTTCCAATTTACTGATTGCATGTATATTGAGAGGTTATGTGGAAATAATCATGTGAAAGAGTATACTTAACTTGTCACAAAAAATATTGTTTTGAAATTGAATGAGAAATAATAATGAATCGTGTTTTAACTCTCCTCATTTTGCTCCAAGCCCTCGCGATCCAGAGCCAGGGATGAGTCTGAAAGTTGTATTCTTAATCAGTAAATATCAGAGATCAACAAAAGCTATGCTCTTTTAAGGCTTTGCCTTTTAGTATTAAGTATTTTTCCAAAGGGTGATACAATTTGGGTCCTGTCACCTTACGCAATATTTAATAACTTATTTGACTTTGTATTTAGTATAAACATATCAGTTTTGAACAGTTCCCCTCCTCTACATTGCTGTACTTAGTTCCCCTCCACTACCTCACTGTACTTAGTTCCCCTCTTCTACCTCACTGTACTTAGCACCCTTCTCTACAA